GATAGATAGATAGATAGATAGATAGATAGATAGATAGATAGATAGATGGATGGATGGATGGATGGATGGATAGATGGATAGAGAGATAGATAGATAGATAGACAGATAGATAGATAGATGATAGATAGATAGATAGATAGATAGATAGATAGATAGATAGATAGATAGATAGATAGATAGATAAATGTTAGCTTGAAATGACTGATTGATAAGATGGATGATGGCCAGACTTTGGCTTCCATCCTTTCCTGGGTCTGTGACTTCTCTGGTGCAGCAATTTCTCACCCCTCCCCCTTTACTACTCTTCTTTACTTAGCCCCTGGACTTTAAGCATCGCTGAGGCATTCACCACCCAGTGGCCAACGTGCTAATGAGCCTCGCTTTCAGGAGAGCCTGGGCTCCAAGGCCAAGAGAGCCAGGGTTGCCTCTGGGTTGCAAGAAGGTGTTGGAGGAGGACTTTAGTGGGAAGAGCCCATGCTATGATGGCTGCCAAAATCCACTTCAGATTTGTTGACAATCCCCAAACCTACGATGAGAAGCCCAACGAAGGAACAGAAAGGACTGACTCTGGGATATCTTCAAAGAAGTTTAGAAAACAGCCACCTTCTCTTAACCTTTCAAAGAAACACTGATATACTAGATACACTGATTTTCCTGCTGGGTTGGATAGGAAGGGGAGGCTTTTCACAATTAAAAAACAAATTAGTCCTGCTGTTAGAAACCCCTTCATTGAAATCCTAAAGCAGGGGACTTAATCAATTCATCATTCAGTAAGCATTTAATAACTACCATCTGCCAAGCACTGTACTAGCCACTAGTGATGCAAAATAAAATAGAAACAGTTCCTGCCCTCAAGGAGCTTACATTCTAATAGGGAAAGAGTCCATCAGGGCTTTTTCAAAATTATTCTATTCCACAACAACACAGTAGACAGATCTAATACAAGATAAGAGGCAGCTAGGTGGTGCCATAGTAGATAGATAGAGCATGGGGCCTGGAGTCGGGAAGACCCTAGTTCAAATCTAGCCATAATACATTGCTGCGTGACGCTGGGCAAGTCACTTAACTTCAGTCTGCCTCAGCTTCCTCAGCTGTAAAATTGGGGATAATAATAGATTCTACCTCACAGGGTTGTTGTGAGGATCAAACGAGATAGTATTTATAAAGTGCTTAGCACCGTGCCTGCACAGGGCAGTGACTTAATAAATGTTTATTCCATTCTATTCCAGATAAACTCCTTGAGGCTAAGTACTGGTGCTTACTAAATGCTCATTGATGGACTGTTTGATTGTTGTGGCCCTAAATCCCTGCCCACTCACTCTCTGAGGTTAAAAAAACAAAAACCTCCTCTACAGTAACCTCTTACCTCCAAAACTCGTCCCCCTCAAAGCACATTCCTTTCATTTAATCTTTGACCTCTGACATTCCTTCTTTCCTTTTTTGCCTTTCTGCTGATTTCTTGCAAATGGTAAGGTCTTTCTGGTATTACTGGACAGAGGCCTTCCCCCAAATCTGTTTGGCCATAAAACATCACCCACAGCTATGTAGGATCAAAATATGGAGAGGGCCAGAAGGAACTTTAGAGATTATATGAAGAAATTGAGGCTGGTGAAGAACCTCAGTTAACACAAGCAGAGCCAGAAGGCCCCTCAGAGCCAGTTACACCAATCCCTTCACTTTATGGATAAGATAACCGAGGCCTAAAGAATTTAAATGGCTTGCCCTGGATCGCCAAGGCAGTATAAAGCAGAGCCAAGATGGGCCCAAGTGTTCTCATTCCCAATCTTGTGTTCTTTCCGCCATATTGGGGGGCTGATTAGACTGGGACGCTTCCTGTGGAACTGGACACATATCTCACTGGCATGACACAGCAACCCCTGTTTGATCCCTGTGATGCCTGTGAGCTCTATCACAGATATCTGAAATAGAACAGAATCCATAAGTGCCCATCTGCACGTTGGAGAAATACTAGAATGCCCTCTGGGGCAAAAGGGGCCCTAGAAAATTCTGGAGCTCAGGAACAGAAATTAAACCTATTTTTATACCAGAAAAAATTGACACATATAATAAGACTATTTTTCATACATATATGATTTTATATCTCATATTTCAGAGGCAGAGGATATTATATACAGATATTAACATTATCCCATTAATATAAATACATCAACATTAATATTATACTAACATTTTGTTAAGTATTATAATAAACAGTCTTAAGTCAGGTAGAATTTAATAATAATAATAGATACTTCTAAAGCACTTTAAGGTTTACAAAGTGTATTCCACGAGTTATTTCATTTGAGCCCTAGAGCAACCTTAGTAGTTGTAAGTAGTTGTAGAGGTAAGATTATCCCCATTTTTCAAATGAAGAAACTGAGGCTCAGAGGATAAATGTAACTCTCCCTCTATGAAAAAACAAGAGGAGAGATGGATTTGACATTTTTGTTTTGGCTACTTATATGTATCCCTGAGATAAGGTTTGATGAGAAATAAGGTTGATTTAATGGTTGATGAATCTTGGGGATTGGTCTCAATTTGAGGACCTCTAGAAACCTCTTTTTCTATATGACCTGTGGATAATTCAGAGTGTTTTATGTGCACAAGTACCCAGTTTTCATGTTGGTGTGAAACCTGCTTTGGGGGATGGGAGTGGAGGATGGGGGCGTAGTTAGCAGAGAAGGGTAAAGTACATTTATATCTGACAAGGTTTCCCAGAGTTTTCTTTGGCTCTGTTCTGGTTTATAGTCTTTCTCACCTTCATTATAAATGCTCTGGTAATAGACTAAGAAGCTTTGACACTTGGCTGTGATACTTGTGACTTGCCAGACCTTAAACTTCAGTTTTCTTATCTGTAAAATGGGGGCATGTCAGACTAGATAACAAGACCCCTCTAGCTCTAAATGTATGGTTCTATGTGTGACCTCGGGCAAGTTATATCCCCTTTTTGAGCCTCAGTTTCCTCACCTGTCAGATCAAAGGGTTGGATTAGATGACCCCTGAATTCTAAATCTCTACTCCTATGCCCAGGACTTAAATATCATTATGGAATTCTCCTTCATGAGATTCCATACAGGTTCCTAGAGCACAACTTGGAAAATGTTCCTGCCTTACATCTGGCCAATGTTCCTGAGCCAACTCAGTATTCCTCTTTGGGACCAAAGGGAGATAACTGTTAAGATCCCAAGATTCAAGGTCAAGGCCAGATTTAAGTCGACCAGAGTGGCTTTGATGGATTCCATCTCTCCTCAGCTAGACTGGACTTTCTTCTTCTCTGTTGCCCTTGAGCAGGGCCCAAGATGTCCCCTTCTCTTGAATTCTTTCTTCCTCTACATCTTGTGCCCATGCCTTCCCTCCACCTCATTGGATCTTATCTAAGAGCCTCTCCCACATTCCCTTATTTTAATTACTTTTGGATAGTGGTTCTTCTAAAAATAAGAATTTTTCTAGCTGAAGACAAGATGTTAGCAACTTAAAAGTGCATTCCACATCCAGGAAAGGGAGGGAGGCCAAGTGGTTGTCATGGAGATGGCTTATGGTTTCTTAGAAGCTGGGTGTGCAAAGTCTTACTCAACAGATGTAATTTTCCCAGCACAGCATGGAATCTTGTTGCCTGACAGAGGCATCCAGGCTGCTCACTCAGCTCTCCCGATGGCCAGACTCATGAGGGAATGCTGTGGGCCATGGACTCTCCCATGACTGATGAAACCCAGCCCTCTCTTCCCACCTGGTATTCCCTGTCTTGGCTTCCAAAAGGATTTTAATTGTAGAGCGCAGAGGCCAGAGTTTAACATAGGGAGGGGCCTAATTTCATCACCAAACTTCTGTAGGGCCTTTGTTTAACATACTCAGTAGAAGTAAGAATCCAAACTCTACAGGCTTCGTGATGGAAATTTTAAAAAGAAAAAAAACAGTAAGAGACAGAGGATCCAACACATGAGGGAACACAGATGATGGATGCAGTGGTGTATGATGAAATCTAATTTTTTTTAAAAAAAGATGTGGTTATATGTGCTTTGTGTAAAGAGACTGGGAGCTGCTCTTTTGAGCACACATAGATATACACACATCTGCAGTATGTTTGTATGTATGAAAAGCCCTAATTTAGGCTATTCTGTCCACCTATGCAGACAATAAACTTTCAATGACTTATCAGTCTGATTTCACGAGTTAAAGTGGCCAAAAGTATCATCAATGGTTGACCAGCTCTCTGATGATGAGCTTCTTGACACGTCCTAGAATTTCCAGCATGGTAGGATCTAAGAGAGCAGTGGTCTAGCCAGCATAGCCAGCTGTCCCTATCCCTGTTTCTCTGTCTCTGTCTTTCTGTTTCTATCTCTGTCTATCATCTCTCTATATGTCCGTCCATCTTTTCTTCTATCTATCTATCCATCTATCTATCTACCTATCCATCTACCTGTCTATCAATCCATCCATCTATCTATCCATCCATCTATCTATGTATGTATCTATCTACCTATCCATCTACCTATTTATCCATCCATCTATCTATCTATCTATCTATCTATCTATCTATCTATCTATCTGTCTGACTGTCTGTCTGTCTGTCTGTCTGTCTGTCTGTCTGTCTGTCTGTCTGCCTGTCTATCTCATGGCACAGCAGAGAGACAGAAGGCTGGACTTGGAACCAAGAACATCTGGGATCAAGACCTGATTCTGATGTAAACCAGCAATGTGACCCTAGGTGAGTCTCTAAACCCCTCAGAGCACTCAGACCCCACTCCCACCCCTTCCCACCCACCCTCAAAGTCTCTAAGATAATGAGAAATTGGGGCTTTGTCATTTAACTGCCTTCATGACTGTGGCAAGGGTGGTACAGGCGAAAGAATGATGAATTTAGAGTCAGAAGAACTGAATTCTGATCCTGGCTCTGCTACTAAGTGTGTGATCCTCTTGGGCAAGTTGTTTGTGCCAAAGACTAGACTAGTAGGCCTCCAAGGTCCCATTCAGCTTCAGATCCATGGTCCTATGACCTCTCTGGGTCTTAGCTTTCTCAACTGTAAAATGAGAGAGTTGGATGAGCCGGCTTCTAAGAGATCCTTCCAACCCTGCCTACAATCTCTATCATCTTCCCAATTATAAGGTCAGTCCTCTAGCCACTGCACCACAGTGCTGGACTTTTAGACTTGATTTTAATAAAATGTATTGTGGGGTGGGAATTCTAGCTGTTTCTATCAAAAGTAGCTGAAGGCATGTTGGAAAATGCTATCCACACCCAGAGAAAGAACTACGGAGTTTGAATGCAGATCGAAGCACACTATTTGCTCTTTTTTTTCCGTTTTGTTTTGTTTCCTCTTTCTTGTGGTTCCTCCTGTTGGTTCTAATTCTTCTTTACAACATGGCTAATGTGAAAATATGTTTAATAGGAATGTATATGTAGAGCTTATATCAGATTGCACGTTGTCTCGGGGAGGGAGGCGGAGAAAATTTAAAACTTGTCACCTGGATGACCAAGTTCCTTTCAATTCCCAGTGAAGGATCACCAAGGAACAAGACAATTCTCTGCAGACATACATCTTTATATATGTTCGTGTTACTTGGAAGGATCTTCTTCCTACAAGACATTTGGAATATATATGGAACTTGGCCAGATCTTTCTAAGTATCAAATCTCAACCTTCTAGGGATGTGAGTTTCAGGGGTTGGCAAAATGCACCAAGTCCTCATTTCTATAAGGAAAAACAAGGTTTGAGTGGCTCATGGAAAGCATCATGAGTTTCCTGCATGTTGAAAGTTGATTTTTTTAACCATTTTTTGCTGAGTTCAGGATAACTGAATCAGAAACATCTGGGCTACATTTCCTTTAATGCTCATCTCAGCTCTTAAACCCAGATGAGGGAAAGTTCTTTGGCAGGTGGGAGAAGGGAGAAAAAGGAAATATACTCTGAGGTTGGCTTAATCTCAAAGGGTGCAGAACAAACCCCCCCCCCCACAACCAAAAAGGGAAGTGAGAAGAGAATAAAAACCTCTGCCCCAACCTCCATTCATCACTCTGGGCTGTCCTTTCTGTCTTCCTTCTAGCTCTCAAATCCACCCCTTCTTCCCACTTTCCAGCTCCCTGCATGAACCCTAGCTCAACTCCTAGTTCCCTCTGCCTCCATTACGGCATTGCCATTCTAACTGACCTTCCCATCTCCACTTAATAAATGTTTATTGAACTGAATTGAATTCAACTGAATTCAATTGAATTGAATTACTCCCATGCTATTTCCCCCTAATATACTCTGCCTTGGATTGTGAAGTGTCTCTTGTGGGTAGGTCTCATCTCCACAAACAGACTCTAAATTCATTATGGTACAACCACTTTTTACCTTTCTTTATCCCTCACACAGTGCTACAAGCAATTGTAGGGCTTCTCTATTCCCTGGCCCCCCATGCACGTTATCCCCAGGTTAATCCTGGGGATTATAATCCTATAAACATAATTTTCTTCACACACACACACACACACACCCTCCTTGGAAAACTTTTGAAATCCCATGGATCAATTCCAAACGCCTTAGCTTGATAGAACACATCTTCCAAATCTCACTTCTCACCACTTCCTCAGGTCATAGTCATCTTTCCCTTAAGTAAACTCCTAAATCACTTGCTTTTTTTTTGTTTTGTCTAAACCTGTGATTTCATTGATGTAAGGAAATCCTGGTCAGGAAACACCTTCTACACCTGCAAGTCAGTACCTGCTCTGGAAATGAGTCTCCCTCCTCCACCCCAACCAAGGCACAGAGGGTTAAATGACTTGCCCAGAACCACACAGCCAGAATGTGTCAGAGGCAGAGATTGAGACCAGATTTCCTGCTTTGGAGGTGGGCTCTCTATTGATTACTTCACACTGTCTCTTTATTTCATTTATTTTCTCCTTGAGGGTAGGGATTACTTTTATCTTTCTCTCTGTATCCCTGGTACTTAGCACAGTGCCCTGCACATAGGAGGCACTCAGAAAATTCGTGTTAAATTGAATTGAATTGAGACCAAGCTATTGGCACCTAATATATTCTGTTTTGGATTGTCAGTAATATTTTTATATGCATATTGTCTCATCTTTGGAACTAGACTATAATCTCCTTGGCTCCAGGGACCATATTTTATCTATCTTTATACCCACTGGACAGTGGAAGGCAATTGTGAAAAATTTGGTGTATAAAAAGAGGAAGATAGGAATAGATGAAGGAAAAAGGAGGAGGAGAAGAGAAGAATGAGAAAGGGGAAGAAGAGGAAAAAGAGAAGAAAGGAGGCAGGATGAGGAGATGAAAGAAGCAGAGACAGAAATTTTGACAAAGAAAATGGAAGATGGAAAGTTGTGCTTACCGGTACCTTCATTTTAAAGTCATCTCTATAGAGTTTAATGCCAATGTCAGCGATGGTCCTTTGGATAAAGCGGGATGGCCGAAGGACAAAGACAAGCTGCAGGTTTCCCGGAAATGCTCCCTGGAATAATGAAAAAAGTTCATGAGGAAAGGCCATCTCACATCCAAGAACCTCTTGTTCTCTGAATCTCATGCTAGGTGATGGGCGCTAGAGTGAGCCACAAGTAATTAAAGGAGAAGCCCAGGGAAGTGCCCCAAATGGCCCAGTTTGGATGTGGATGGAAGAAGTCTGGGAGACAGACCCCATGAAATCCTCTGTGGGATATAGGGGAAAATAGGGTGCTTCTAGTGCTAGTAAAAGGCAAATTCCTAGAGGGTGGGGAATCTCAACTGTGCATTTGTTTCCCCAGCTGCTAACACGTTATTTGGCACATAGTAGACTTAATAAATACTTGTTGATTTAAACTGCACATCTCAAGTTGTATGTAAACATTTCTTGGCCCCTCCTCTAGGTACTAAGTGCTCCAGAGCAGGTATTGACCTGCGTGGGTAGAAGGTGTTTGCTGACCAGGATGTTCTACATCAATGAAATCACAGATTTAGACAAAGCAAAAAAAGCAAGTGATTTAGGAGTTTACCAAAGTGCTCCTCTCCCTCCCTAGGTATTAAGTGCTCTTGCACACCTTTTGTTTGTTAATGCCTTTCTCTTCCTCAGACCACCTTGTATTTACTGATCCACATCCTCATTACATCTACCAGTTGAGTGCAAGCTGAGGATAGGGACATCCCACTTTTGTGTGCCTTTGTCCACAGGTGCCGGGCTTGGAATTCTGGGTGCAGAGAAGTTGATGTCCCAAGTACAGTCTACGCTTCTAATCTACTTAAATGTCTTGAGCTAAGTACTGGGCTCCATCCAATCAGACACAATTGTATTACCCAGTTACAAATTGGAGGTGCTTACTACATTATGGTTTAATGTTTAAGAGGGGTGCACAAAATGGGGCAGCATACAGAGTGTCAGATCCCCAATGAATGGACCTGGATTTGAATTTTGGCTCTTTCACTCATGTGACCTGTGGCAAATCTCTTAGTTTCATTGGATATTAGGTTATTTATCTGTAAAATACGGAGTTATTGCTGATCACTGCCAAGGTCTCCTGTAGCACTAAATCTGGACTCACTCTCTGCAGGAGACTAATGAATAAAGGGAAATATTATCTAAAGGCCCTTCTCCCCAGTGGATTGTTGGGTAGACCCCAACAGTGGGAGCCGCTGAAGGTGAAAGGGTCGATGACAGAAGGCAGAAACAATCACAGATACTACGGCTATTACCACGTTCCAAATGACCAAGTGTCCACTGGTCTGGCGGGAACTAGATATCCCTTGTCAGGTAAACTCTGCTAGAGAATTCTTAGGCTGGAGTAGGGACACAGAAAAACTGCCAACACCCATCTACAATTTACCACGCCTAGGAATGTTTCTCAGAGAGGATCAGCCCTGTTTAGTTACCCAGTTCTTCTTCTTCTAGGAGCTCCTTTCCCTCCCACCTTCAGGCCAACTCTCCAAGTTATAGTTGTATTCTCAAGATGCCAAGTGTGGGTGGAGTCACTAGAAAGGATAATTCTACAGCCACAAATAAACTTAAGGAATCAAGTTGTCAGGGTAGAAGCAGTGTTTTCCCCTCCTTGTCTCTTAAAAACAGGGGTTCTTAAGCTTGGGCCTGAGAATTTTTTTTTTAATTTTTGAAAAATTTTTTAAAAAAACTATTAAAAATGTTTACATGCAATTGGTAAAAGAAAATATTTAAAGTTAAAAAAGAAACAACTATTTCGATAACTAGGTTTCAATATAATTATTTTCTTCTGTAATCCCATGCATTTTATTTTATGCATTTAAAAGTATTTTTCTGAGAAGGGGTCCATAGACACCAGACTGCCAAACACACAAAGTTAAGACCTCCTACCCTAGATCATGCATGCATGCATGCATGCAACCCTCAGAAGAACCTGAAATTTTGCTAAGTCCTATCACTATAATTACCTGAAATTCTATTTATCCTGAAGCATAAGGGACAGGTGATTATGGCATAAGGTGGGAAGAAAGGGCCAGCCTCATCATCAGAAAGACCTGAATTCAAGTCCCATCTCTGACTATTCTTGGCTGTATAATCCTAGGCAAGTCACTTAACCCCTCAGTTTCCCAGGCAAGACTCTAAGTCACAGCAAATTTGTATTGGTGGAGGGCATTTCCAATCAGAGACTTCTCTACAGCAATGAAATCACAGACAATAACAGCTAGCATTTCTATAACACTTTAAGTGTACAAAGCGCTTTACATATATTATCACCTCACTTGATCCACATAAGAACCCTAGGAGGTGAGTGCTATTATTACCCCCATTTTACAGACTAGGAAACTGAGGCTGAGAGAGACTGTGTCTTGCCCAGGGTCACACTGGCTAGTAAGTGCCTGAGTCAGGAGTTGAATTCTTCTGCCTAACTCCAAGTCCAGGTGTAGCCACTCTGTCAACAAATGAAAGAGAGAGGCACTAAAGCTACTAGGAAGGAAGGAATTTATTTATTTTACTCCCTGTCCTCTCACTGGCCAACAGGATTCCATCTCACTGCAGGCGGTGCTTAAACTGAATGAGACAGGGGCACTTTGGTGGTGTAGTAGATGGAGCACCGGCCCTGGAGCCAGGAGGACTTGAGTTCAAATCCGACCTTAGACACTCGACACTAGCTGTGTGACCCTGGGCAAGTCATTTAACCCCATTGCCTAGCCAAAAAATAAAATGAATGAGCCACCCCTCTGCCCATACTCTTCAGCTTCTCTGACTACTCCACTTTGCCAGTCAGGTCTGGTAGCCTAATGCTGCATCTATTGCCTTTGTCACTCAAACTTTAAGGAACCAAATCCTTTTTCAAAAAGGAAAGGGTGTTGAGGGGTGGCTGGGGGGACAGGAGATCTGGACAAGGGGCCCTTGCGCATATTTAAGAGCATCAAAATGTACTTCAATCATGACTACAGAAATAAACCTTTCAATAAATGGTAATTCTCACCCTCTCTTCCTGATGAGTCTGACTGAAAAAGAACCTAAGAATTGAGAATTATACTGGCTTAAACAAACCCCAACAGCCTAAAAGAAATTAGCGTAGGGTCATAGTTTTACAGCTGGAAGGGACCCTAGAGTCTAATGCCTTCAGTTTTGCAGATGAGGAAACTGAGGCATGGAGAGATTGAGCGACTTGCCTAGGGTCACACAGCTGGTAAGAATTTGAGACAGGATTTGAACTGCGTTCTTCCCACTGCCCTCCAGCCGCCAACATCTCTTCCTAAACACTCAGAAAAAGTAACATCAATACACCTGTCCACTTTATCTCCCAAACTCAACAGGGTCTGTGTTGTAATAAGAGGATGAAGGCACGCCCGTCATGCTTTTTGTTTTCTAAACACATATGAAATGATCACCTTGGTCCATTCATGGCCAAGAATTTTGGTTGTTCTGCTCTGTCTAGCCAGACCCCAGGATGTAAGTGAGTATTCTTTAGAACTCAGAAAATCCTTTCTGCCTGAAAGCTGACACGTCCCCCAGCTTCTTGCCTTCCAAGAGACGAGGTAAACATGTTTTGCTGGCAATGGGAAAGTGAGAAGGGAGGGGGGTCTCTTCCCAGGTCAGGCAAGCTTACATTTTCTCCATCCTAAAAAGCAGAGTAAAAACAAGCAAACATCATGTGTACTCACTGCAATTCGGGTCAAGGATGCCTTTACGGAGCTCCATTTGTCTCTCCTTCTGTCGATAACAATGATGAACCCGATGCTGGCAGCCTCCAGACTGCAAAGAAACATGAAGAGATGTGCAGGGTTATACAGACCCGCAGGAGTTTGAGGGGGACACAGTAGCAGAGACCAGACCTCATACTGCTCCCAGGGTAGCTGTAAGTGCCCCTGCCTTGCCTGGGTGAAGAGCTGTGCTGCATGGCCCCGGGAAAGCCAAGGCAGCTCCTACTGTGTATTCTGAGGCTGCCTGGCAGCCTTCATCAAACATGAATCTTTTATCTATTCCTATCTCTCAGCTGCTTTGTCTCTGGCTGCTGAATGCAGGGGTGCGGACTAAGGCCACATGTCTCCATGCCTGACCGAAACTGAACGTGCCAAGGGGGCCTGGCAGATGCATGGGGGAGGCAGGACACCCCCATGTTGGGCCCTGTCATGTTTTCTCCAAAAACGCTGACATATCACGGGGCTGGGGCTGGCTCCTTCTACTGAGGACTGCATCCAGGCTGTGGGAGAAGGCAACATGCACAGTGTGGGGTACAAACAGCTCACCAGAAATCAGGGGAGCGGAATAGAGCTTGGAAACGTGTGATCAAGAATCAGGCTATGCATGAAAGGAAATGTGTCTGCTGAGACCCCAGAGCCTGATCAGGTGCCCTTCTCCCTCCCCTAATTCTCTGGACGGTGAGGGGTGAGACTAGATAATCCCAAAGGTCTCTTCTCGCCCTAAACCCAGTGATATTCTGATCCTTTCAAAAGCAAAGCCTCCAGGAAGGACTATTTCCTCCCCTGATCTGTCCTCCTTAGAACATGCAAATGCCTTACATGGAGTCAGTCAATCAATTCACCAATATAGCATGCATTAAGTGCCTACTCTGTGCCATTAGAGGGACAGAAGGACAAAAACAAAGCAATCCCTCCCTTCAAGGACTTTATATTCTCCCAAGTGAGACAAATCTAGGCCCTATTACCTCTGGTCCATTTTTCCTGGCCACAGCGCAGAGAAAAAGCGTGGGATTTGAAGTCACTCATTTTTTCAGTCACATCTGACCCTTCATGACCTCAGTTGGGGCAGAGATACTAGAATGGTTTGTCATTTCCTTCTCCAACTCATTTTGCAGGTGAGGAAACTGAGGCAAACAGGGTGAAATGACTTGCCCAAGGTCACACAGCTAGTAAATATCTGGGTCCAGATTTGAACTCAGGTCTTCTGACTCCAAGCCAAGTGCTCTATCCACTGTGCCACCTAGCTGTCTCTGTAGTCAGAAAACCTGGGTTTAAATCCTCTAACTCTACTACTTGTTAGCTTTGTGATTTTGGGCAAGTCTCTCTGGGACTCAGTTTACCTATCAATAAAACCTTGGGCTAAATGACCTCTAAGTTTCTCTCTTGTCCTGAATCCTAGACTCTTTCTCCCTTCTTCTTAGCCTGGGAGTTTCTAGGGCACTCCTTTAATTCATTTATTTTTAATGGTCCCACTTTTATTTTCCTAACTTCAAAAGTGACTATAATTTTTAAAAGTGCTAGGAATCATAAGGCATAATTGTCAAATTGTTTCTTAGAGAAAATAGTTGTAAGCATCCTTGGTGGAAGAAGGTTGACCATAGGAGGAGTGACTGATTTGAGTAAGTCTTGGGAGCTGAGCAGGGAAGAAAGAAGCTCTGGTGCCTAAGAAGCTCAGTGCCTAATAACATGTTATAGAGGTAGCAAGGAATCCCTATGGATAGAAGATTGTACTTGCAGTCAGGGAGATCCCGAGTTCAAATCCTGCCTCAGACATTTACTAGCCTTACGACCATAGACAAGCCAATTTATGTCTTTCAGCCTCAGTTTCCTCATCTGTAAGGTAAAGGGATAATAATAGCACCTCCTTTCCAAGGTTATTGTGAGGATAAAAGGAGATCATATTTATAAAGCTTTGCAAGCATGGCAAACCTTAAAGTGATATATATGTATGTGTATGTATCTATCTATCTATATATATAGATACATACATACATACATATATACATACATATATAGGGTCTGACTCTGTGTGTGAATGTTAGCCTGACAGCCATCTTTAAAAATATTTATTTAATATTTAATATTTATTTTTCCCCAACTACATGTAAAAACAGTTTTTAACATTCCTTTCTTAAAAATTTGAGTTCCCAGGCAGCTAGGTGGCACAGTGGATACAGCACCGACCTTGAAGTCAGGAGGACCTGAGTTCAAATCCGACCTCAGACCAAACACTTGACACTTACTAGCTGTGTGACCCTGGGCAAGTCACTTAACCCCAATTGCCTAAACAAACAAACAAACAAACAAAGTTGAGTTCCAAATTCTCTCCCTCGATTTTCTTTCCCCTCATTGAGAAGGCAAGCAATTTGATATGGGTTATACATGGGCTGACTCTTTTGTATTGGGAAGTCACCATCATGGAGCTGATAATTAAACATATGGTAGAGAGTGGAGAGAGAAGAAAAGAGGGACCAGAACAGAGCCTTGAGGGATGTTCACAGTTAGTAGACTTTATACTGGTGATGAATCAACAAAAAAGATACAGAAGAAATGGTCAGAGAAGTAGGCAGAAAACCCAAGGTCAGAGAAAACAAGATTGCCTACCCCCAAGGAGTTTATAGCTTTGTAGGGGGATGAGGAATAGACACTGGTGGCCATCATACATGCCATTACATGGAAAGTGCATTAGAGAGTTATCCAAATGCTATGCAAAATCAGAGGGGATGGTCATTCATGGCCAGGGACAGCAGAGAAGACACGGACGAGAGGGTAACACGTGAATTGGTCTTTAAAGGATGAGTAGGAAGTGAACAAGAGAAGAGGAGGAGGGAGAGGGAGCACTGGGGCAAGGTGAATATAGTATGGGCTCAGGAAGAAGAGTTCTGTCCTGCCTCATCTGTGTGCTGAATAAATGGAGGGCAAAACTATGAAGTGAGCTGGGGAAAGAAGGCTAAAGCCACAAATTCCAGACAGGGGAGTCTGAACTTTATCCAGAAGGTGATGGAGAGCCAATGAAAGCTCTTCATCAGAGGACTAACATGACCAATTTTATGTATAAGAAACATTATCCTGAGAGTGACATGAAAAATAGATTGAAATTGGACAAGAGTAGAAATAGTAGCTAGGGCGGGTAGGTGGTGCAGTGGCTAGAATACTGGGGCTGCTGCAGTCAGGAGGACCCGAGTTCACATCCAGCCTGAAACACTGTGTAACTCTGGGCAAGTCACTTAACCCTGTTTACCTCTGTTCCTCTTTTGTAAAATGAGCTGAAGAAGAAAAGGGCAAACCACTTCAGTATCTCTGCTAAGAAAATCCCACATGGGATCATGAAGAGTCAGACATGACTGAAAAATAACTCGACGACAAAATCTCTAGACACTGGGTTAGTCACTGGCTAAAAAAGAAATAATGCCTGCCCTCAGGTAGCTTACATTTTACTAGAAGATACAGCATATAAACAGATAAGTAAATACAAGATAGTTCATGTAGGGAAAGAACACTAGACTTCTGGTGAGCAGTGAAACCTGAGTTAAGCCTAAGGACTCTAAGAGGCAGAGGTGAGAGCATTCCAGATATTGCGGATACCCTGTGCAAAGGCTCTAAGGTGGGAGACGGGACGTTGAATTCAAGGAACAGTAAGAAGATGACTCTGGCTGGAAGGTAGAGTTTGTGAAAGGGAATAATGTGAAATAAGCCTGGAAAAAGTAGGCTACGGGGAGATCATTAAGGTCCTCAAATGACAAGCTTTGATTTTATTCTGGAGATAATGGGAAGCCACTGGAGGTTTTTGAACCAGGGAGTGATGGTGGTTAGACCTATGCACATCAGGAAGGTGATTTAGCAATTATGTGGGAGATGAACTGGAGAAGAGAGAAATTAAAAGGAGGGAAACCAAATGAGAAACTCTTTTTCAAAGGAGTGATGAAGGCCTCAACTTGAGTTCTATCCTCATGAATGGAAAGGAGGGTATGAATACAAAGATATGTGATAACTGGTTAAATAAAACATGGCAACTAGCTGGATGGTGGAGGATGAGAGACAGGGAAAAATTAGGATTGACTTTAAGGTGATAAATCTTGAACGAGTCATAGAATGCAGGAGTGTGCTGGTGAATGTTTAACAATTAGACTCAAAACATACTTTTAAGTTTAATCTTCATTATTAACATTTTTTCCATCACTCTCTTAAGTCTAGACCATTAACAAAGCAATAAATCAAAACCTGATTGGTAGCGTTTGTTGACTTTCAGGGTATAAATGCTCACACTAAAAATTTCACGATCAGTTTGAACTGGTTCCAGCACAATCCTGGACCTTAATGAGTATCTAGTCCAACTCCCTTATTTTACCAGTGAGAAAGCTGAGGATCTGAAAGGCTAGTGACTTTCTTGAGGTTATTTAGCTATTTCATGGCAAAACTGGCATAAAACTCAAATCTCCTGATTCTCAGGTTTTTGCTCTTCCTACTAACAAAAGCTGCCTGGTGCTTTATGAGGAACCAATCTGGACTTTCAGATAGCCTTGGAATTTGGAGACTAGCTTTATTTGCTTAAAAAAAAAGAAAATAGCATCAGGTTTGTCATCAATGAATCCACAGTGCCTATAGACCAACATCTAGAAATAATAAATTAATGAATTCATTAGATAGAGATCGATAACTTTTTTTCTTTCTGCTGAATTCAGCAACAGTAATTAGTAATACACAGATTAAATGTTTTCCCAGAAAGCTTCTATATAGTTTTATTGATTTTTTCCCTTTCTCTTAAGTGTTATTGATCTTAAGACAGACTCTTACAGCTTTAGGGATGAAATATTAAGTACGTGTAGTGGGCTTTGCAAAGGGGCAAGCCTTCTTCTCCTGATGGCTAGCTCTAACTCCTCTCTTCTCTTTGTCAGGAAGGAATTTGTTGAGAAGTGATTTGAGACAAAAGGAGGAATCAGCCCAGAAGTTCCAGAAAAAGTGGGAGCAGAAGATCAGAGAAGTGCAGGAAAGGACTAGTACTGGAGGTAGAATGGGGGAGAACCAGTATGGAAGATCAAATCCTGAGAACTT